TGGGTTTATATGAAGTGGTAACTTGCCGATAGTAGGACTGGTAACGAAGTCTCTCTGTTGAGCATATGCTATGGACTAATTCTCTCAAACAACAATAAATTCTCTTTAAAATTATCATTATTTCCTATTTCCTTTTAGACATTTTAATTCACTTCTTAATTGACCTTAGGCCCTATAACATGCCCAACAGATCTGAAGACTGGAGAACTTGCACATCAGACCTGCACATATTTCATTGGAAAATTAAGCTTGCTCTTTACAGCCATACATGCATGGCAGTCTTGATCTAGTGCAACTGGGGAGATGGCCAGGCAAGGAATAAAAATGAGAGTCCTGTCTTACTGATTTTGAAAAGCAGTAATCGTCGTACATTAATGCTGTAATTTTTTCCTATAGATATGGTTGCATAAAATTGTCTGTTGCTAAAAGTAGCCGATTCTAGAATGACCTCTCTCCACATGCTTCAGACCATTTCAGGAAAGCTTGGCGAGAAAGGCTTTTGTATGTGGTTGAAATATATTGGGTATAATTAAGGTGGTCTTTGGATTTGAGGATGTCCTCAGCTCTGCTCTTTAGAAATCTGCTGGGGAGGAGCCAGAGAAGACTCCAAAAGGGATTGCTAAGCCTCTCGGTTTTCTAAGAGGTATTCCTTCCATAATTTTTTGCTGAGAGGCTGTGAAGCAGGCAAGATGAGAGGTTGTATGGCTGAAAGGAGATACACTCCAGGAAAGCCTGCTTGACTTTTTGTAATCCATTCCCAGGTCTATATTCCTGTGCTTCCCAATCCTACTCAGGCATGTGACAGTGAGTCAGGAAGTATTGTTGCAGTTGGAAGAGGTTTCTGTGGTTGTTCTCCAACAGCTACTGAGCATTAGCTCGTCTCTTTCTCCAAGGAAAATCTTGGATGGATGAGGAAATCTTGGAAGTGATCTGAGATCAGTGCTACAGGGAACAGCTGCTTCCTGGAAGCACTGAACCAGATGTATCTGTGCCATCCACAGTCACACAGTAAGATCAGAGTCTGTCTTCTTCAATGTCCCAAATGAAAGGAGATCAGAATAGCTCTTCCATTCAAATACTGGGTTACCTGTGTGTCCAAAACTTCTGCAAACTTGGGGGCACGGAGGGATGTCTTTAAGTAAATAATGCAATATGAAATCAGGCCCTGAATAGGTCTTTCTTCTATTACCACAAAGAAGCACTGTCCATTCCTCTTTCATCATGTATTCCAGTTCATTAACCTCCCTCCCTTAGTCCTTCCCCATGCTCGATCATGTGTTTTCTTCAGGCTGCCAAGAACATCCATCTCACTTTTGTCACAGAATGATGTTTTTTGTGCAAACATAAATATTTAGAGAAGTTTAGAAAAGATTAAGCTTCATCAAGTCATGCATTCCCACTAATGCAGCACTGGGACAAGTCAGCAGGGAGCAAGAGCCCAGGCTGCTGTGCACAGCTGTTGCAAGACGAAACTATGGAACATTCGTTTTTGACTCCACCAACTTCACTGATCAAAACCACTTTGCAAATTGGCTCATGTTTTATTCCAGAATGAAACTCTTTCCATCAAAACAGCTTCTTCAGTGTGCAGGCTTTGTCTGTATTGTGAATCTCTTGCCTCAGTTTTGTTGTTCTTATGCAAATTCCTAATGCTGCACTTGCTGGACTAGTGAAAAACCTCCATGTTAGAGAAGTCCCTAAGATGCAACTCAGAGCAAAAATAATTGTAAGATCTGCCCATGATGCTTATGCTCCAGTGGTTTGGGCTTCACTCTGGTCATCAGTACCTGAGAAAAATTATGCCACATTCCATATCAGTTTAATACAGGGAGACTTCAGAAACCATAAATGGTAGGGGAAGTTTTTTTTTTTACTGAAGCAAGGAAGCAGAAGTCATTCCAGAATTCATGCAGGAAAATAAGTAATAAGAATATCGAAATACATGCAAGGCAAACAGATGCGTGTTTGCAAATGCATATGTCCATCTTCAGTCCCAAGTACTGACAGTTTGGCTTTTTTCTCCAGTGGAAGTGGATTTGTCATAATAGTTAAAATATTGTCTGCCTCTTGGAGAGCTCACAAGTAACACACCACTTGTGATGATCAGTGAAAAAGAGTTGGCATGCTTTTTTTTCAGTGCTGCTTTGCTGCCCATTTTTAGTGAGGAGACCACAGGAAATCCACAGGAAATCCTGCCTTCCTAGAAAAATATCCTGCTTCCTCCAGGGACCTGTGAAACAGGCAGCTCAACACGGCTGTGGGCATTTCTGAGCTAGGCAAATCAAAAGAGAATAATCTTCCTTAGGAAGTGGCTCAAGCCTCTTTGAGACACTGAGAACCACAGTGGACAAAAAACAGCTGGTCTGATCGAGTATCCATGATATTTTGGGCACGAGTATTGGACTGGATGACCCCCAGAAGCCCCTCCAACCAATCATAGAATCATAGAATAGTTAGGATTGGAAAAGTCGTGTACTATAAGGTTTTTCAATTTTAAAATGTGTGCTTCTCTGCTAAACACTGCCAGGCTTTGTGTTTGGTCCCATTCCTTTTAAATAATATTTTTCTGAGATTTTAATTAAAGATGCATGTAATTAAAGTGCTGTTTTTATTTCAAGTTATGAATTAATTATACTGTTTCTCTGGGAATGCTAGAATTTTTTAAGCATTCTTCCAGCAAGCTGAATTATTATCACTTTAATGCCTTCAATATATTCTTGTAACTGAGCACATCTTATGAACCTAAAGAGGTACTATTAAATTTAATAGTACAATGAAAAACATGCCTAAGGTTGTAGGCCTGTGACTGATGAGTAATGTGAATGGACAAATTGAAGCTCGCTCATGATTTAAACTTGCAAATGTAGCTGGTTGAAAAACAGTCCAACTTAATTAAAAAGAGGTTTGCTGTTTGTGGTAGATCTCATCCACAGCTTTTGAGATCAAGGTGTCAGCTCAAAGGAGAAGTAAATCTGAGGCAGATATCTGGTGTACGTAAAATTGGGGTTAGCTGCTTTTTTTTCAGAGCTTTGTCTCCCAAATGCATTTCAGAATTCGAATCCACGTGCTGCTTTGCATGGTTGCAGCGGATGGTCCTTGCTGTGCTATGCTTCTGTGCAAAGCACAGATGGGCAAAATAATGAAATAGCGATCAGGTGCACTGAGTTGGGAAAATATCATGCAGTTTTTTCATCATACGACAGTTGTCAGGGGGTTGTCCACACACAGAGACTGACCTGCAGAAGCCAGTCCTCAAACTCTTCCTGTGCTCACAGGAGAGCAAACTTCCAAACATACAAGCTTCAGTATAGAGGTGGTCCAGAAGCCTGAGCCCATGGGGAGTAATTTTTAGCCTTAGTGAATAACCACTGAACAAGATGCTTACAGATACTTTACCTAAGTATCCAGTCCAGATACTTTATCTAAGGTGTAACGTGGCAGGGTAGGCTAAGCTCAAAATAATGTTCTTACCAGCGTGCAAGTCTCTTAGTTATAGGCAGTTTACCTAAAGATGCATGTCACGCAGTATGAAAGCTCATCATTTCAGAACTTGGTTTCCTTGGGAAACAGCTAATAGTGTGTATAGAATCTGTATCAGTTTACTGTTGTTTTTCTCGCCTAGAAAAAAATGAAACATTAATATTTTTAACATGCAAGAGATACTTTGTCTCCCACAGTAATTAAAGCCAGATAAACAAGAGGAGAGATCCTGGCAGTTCTGTACTTTGAAAACCTTTAAATCTGGGAAAACTGGTTTCAAGCATTTCCTTTCAGGCAAACCTTAAGCTAGAGGAATTGGGATCAGAAAAATGAGTTGCTGTGAGATGATGATTATTTTCCATGATTCTGGTAGCACGCACAAAGTACAGGAAGCTTTCCAAACCGAGAGGAGGATATAGTCCCTGTTCCAAAGCACGTGAGTGCAAAGAGGCAGTGTAGAGATGAGGAGGGATGGAGCTACAGTATAAAGAGCAATTAGGGTAATGCTAACCGTGCATCAGATAAACTACAGTGGATAGAAAGTGATAGCAATTTTTCTGAACCAACACCCAACAACTGAAATGTAAGTGCACAAAACACCACAGAAATAAAAAAGCGTGTAAGCATTCTCTTTTCTCACAACTGTGTCCTTGAAGAGCGGGTCCTTTCTTCCAGGTTTCTTTTCAGCTCAATGACTTTCTGGGTTGCTGCAAACTCTGCGTAGTCCCTCTGGGTCTTACATGACCTAGTCACTCTCTTTTTGGAGGAACAAGCCAAAATAAGGTAAACCAAACAACTAAAACAAGCGCCATATGTCACAGTTTGTAAGATGAAAGTCCTATTTCAACTGGTGCATCTATTGACAGTGGAAATATTTTAACAAAAGAACCTGGAAAATCCAAAGTAATTAAAGCTAACTCCTGCAAACAAGAAAGTGTTTGTCTGTCTGCCTCCCACCACCATCCCATTTTCACATCTTTATTTATTAATCCTTATGAATAAATTGTTAATTTGTTTTCTATTTAGAGGGTTAATGATAGTTACTTTCCATTCTTTGAGGCAAATAGGGTTCTAGCTGCGCCTTGTCTTCATTGTCTGCTCAAGAATTGCTGCTTAAGACTAAGGGGGATGTTTAAGATGGATTTAAGTGGTGCTTTGGGGGAGAATGAGAAAGTCTGTTAAAACAAGTGTGCTGGAGCTTCTACAGTACAGATTTGAATGCATGCCACTCTGCTAGCAAGGTCTGTGATGGGCATATTTTTGTGTTTCAGCTTGCGTATTCTATACCTAGTTGTATCTTGAGGGTCAATAAACAGAAGCAGCAAGCCTGGATGTCATAATGTTACCTTCCCCAGCCAGTAACAGCCGCGTGGAAAATTTGGACAAGCATTTGTTTCTTTTTTTCAAAATTTCATACCTGATTGTAGCATTGTAGAAGATGAGATTTTAATAAACTGTGTGTTTCCTTAGGATAACAGCTCTGATTTGGGGATTTTGTTTTTTTGTTGTTTCCTTTGCAGGAAGACGGTATCGTGAAGGAAATAGACATCAGTCATCATGTGAAGGAAGGTTTTGAAAAAGCAGATCCTTCTCAGTTTGAACTGCTGAAAGTATTAGGACAAGGTTCATATGGAAAGGTAATTTTTAATGCCATCTAATAACCTAGAGCAGTATTGAAAATGTCATGTCCTTTCTCTGAGTTCATTTGCACCAGTAACATTTTTCTAAATTGAATTACATTGCAGAGGCAGACAATCAAGCGCAAACCTCTTCTATCTTATTTTTAATAGCATTTTTGTGCTTTAGATAGATTTTTTGTGTGTGTGTGTATAAAGCATTTTAGCAAATGGTGCTTATGTCTCTGGACATTGGCCAATGAGCACAGATGAGCATTAGTGAGCATCACTCTCTAAAAAAATTAGACACACACCCCCCCCCCCCCCCTTTCTGACCTACACAGCAGGGATGTGAATGCACCACTACTGCCTAGTTGGAGAATGAAAACGGGAACCTTCAGAGGCTTAAATAAGTTAGCTGTCTAATTCCCATTGAGGGAAATGGGATCTCAAGCACATTTCGAAGTCTCATACTGCTCTTTAGTTCTCACTTAGCAGCCCGTACGCTTTGTTGAAAGGATCCTGGAGTCAAACCCCAGTGCTGAAGAGAGCAGTCATTGTGGTGAGAGAATGGGGGGGGGGGGGGGGGGGGAACCCTACCTGTATGACCACAAGCTAATTTCTGAGAAAGATCATTTCTGTCTTCAGTCCAAGGCTTTTCTTAATCCCAGAGACAATTCTTCAGCAGAATGTGTCAGTTGGAAATGAGAATAGGAAGAAAAGAGGGAGGAGTCTGTTCAGTCTTAAACTCTTTCCATGGTGTAAATAAAACTTTGAAACCTGTGGAACAGTGAGCTTAATTTAAACCAGGCATTGAAGTCTTTGTCATTTTAAGTCTATTATTTTGTGGAGTTTAAAAAAAAACATTTCCCAGCGTTTAACTCAGTGGTGGATCATTCTGGCTAACTTGGAGGACTGTCTTATACCTGAAAGTTGATGTGGTAGTCAGCACAAAGCTGAGCAACCTGATGATGAATCATGGGCATTAGTTTTATTCCTGGGAGAAGCTATATTGAGAGTATTTATCAACCTCCTGACTATTCTAGAATTATATTGATAAGCAAGTCTGCTGGAAGTTCCCTGAGATGAGTGATGCCAAGAAAGTTTGCAGTCACAGCCAAGTTTTGATCTAGAGAATTTCTTGAGAGCAAAGTAATGATACTTGGTTTAAATACTGAAAAATGTAAAAAATGAAACAACTTAAAATCAGATTTACTGTGTGACTCAGTACAAAAAGGAGAAGAACAGTGGGTTTTCAGGTTATTCAGCTGAGGCCTAAATAATTTCTTGCATGTTTACAGAAGATGTCTTTGGTGGCAGAGGGGGTGCTTGCAACACTCTTGAAAGTGGCAACACTTGCTTAACTTTTTAGGTTGCGATTTAGGTCATACTCCCATTGCTCCAGCTAAGGGAGTTTTGTTGGTTATTGGGTATTGATTTCAAACTAGAAAACTGAAAGTCATGCTCAGCAACATGCCTGTGCTGTTCTGGCAAACTAGTATAGTATAGCTGATACAACCAGTCAGGTAAGTGCTCCAGGACCACTTGGTGGTTTCAAGAGCAATGAAGCTTTGTCTTTAAGAAGAATCAGAAGGATGATATCATTTTGCAGTGCAATGCTTTTTCATTTGCTCTGTTTCCTTTTTGGTTGATGATTATTTTGATGTCCTCTGAAACAGCACACAGTGTTCTTGAGTCATCTGTTTTGGAGGGAATCCTGTGCTACAGGGAACAGCTGACTAGTGACTGTAGCATCAGTTGATAATTGTGCTTATTACAACGATATGAGTATTACATGCTTTGCAAGATTGCATTGAAGATACTGCAGCCCAGTATTTATGCAGGTGCAGCATGCTGTGCTGTTCCATGTGCAGTACAGCTTAAAATAATTATTTTAAATGTTTGGGGTTTTGGGTTGTTTTTTGTATAAAGATTCCATAACCATTCTTACAGAATAACAATACAACTGTGAAAATCTAGTGTTTGGGCAAGCTTGCTTTTGACTTTCTCCTTGCTTTCAGTGTAATGAAAAAAATGAATCTTTTACTTGGGCTGGATAGAAAAATATCCCAATATTTCTCTGTCTAGCCGAACTTCTAATGAATTGACTTCCTGTTAATGCTGGAGCAGCTGATCTTAATTTATCACGAAAGGTAATGAAAAAAACTTCATAGAATCATCTAACCATAGAATATTTAGGGTTCGAATGGACCTTAAGATCATCTAGTTCCAACCCCCCTGCCATGGGCAGGGACACCTCACACTAAACCATGTCACCCAAGGCTCTGTCCAGCCTGGCCTTGAACACCACCAGGGATGGAGCATTCACAGCTTCCCTGGGCAACCCGTTCCAGTGCCTCACCACCCTTACAGTAAAGAGCTTCTTCCTTATATCCAATCTAAACTTCTGCTGTTTAAGTTTGGACCCGTTACCCCTTGTCCTATCACTACAGTCTCTAATGAAGAGTCCCTCCCCAGCATCCCTGTAGCTGTCATATGTGTTCCTGTTGTATCCAGGTTTCATCATTTGTTTCTACAGTTGTAAGTGTCAGAAGTATTTGTATGTTCATCAAACTAGGAAAGAGGAGATGGGAACAAGCAACGGATGCCCAAGCTCAGCTAGTTAGGGCAGCTCGGCTGAGGAATTGTTCATATCTCATGTATAGGGAACACCTTGAGAAGGAAAGTCTCACCAAATAGTATCAGAACATGTCGTTGAGGTATAATAGCTGTGATGCTGTCAGATGTGAAAGCCCTGGTTAAAGTGTTCAGAGAGATTTACATTGGTTTGGTTTTTGTTTTTTTTTCCAGCTTCTCTACCTGCTTGTTAAAAGTTGTTCTCCCTTCCCACAAAGCTTTCCTCAAAGGGTGTTCTAAAAAGAATCATAATATGTTTACGGGTATTTTTTTTTTCAAGAGGAAGAGTTTTTCAACTTGAAAATAGTGTTCTAGAAAGAGACTTCCTCCTTCCTTTTTTTGGCTTTTCATATTCTGGGTGGAGACAGTTAACAAAGCTGCATGGTTCCTAAACAAGCAATGAATAAAATAGTTGTCACAGATTTTTGTAAACCAAGTAGACATTCATGAGCTACATAATTTCATCCAGCCTTTGTTAGTTTATATATTTAGAAGTATATGCTATCTACATGGGCTTATATTTCTTTCTGTGTTTGGCTTTACTTCTGTTTCTGTCCAGTAACACAAGTGCTGAAATAAAAACAGAGACACTGTTGTCTGGTGTTTCTGCCCTCAGCAGACAGAGTCAGTCCTGGGAATCAGCTAAAAAATCTGTTTGTTTTGTTTTCAGTTCTTAAAACACTGAAAGTCTAATGAAGACCAAACTAAATTACCCATTCCTTTGTTCACTACCCCTCCAGTGCTCAGATGCACTTAGGGGCAGATAAGAAGGAGCTGCATGGAGTGAAACAAAGAGGATACAGTTTTAGCTACAATTTTATCTCGATTACAAATTTACATTGTCAGAAGAAATATCATAGGAGGCTACAACAGGGAAAACTACCTTTGTTATAGCATATTTGTTAATCATAGTCCTACTTTTTGTTAAGTACAGACAAATTTTTTTAGCTTCAGCTTTTTGCTTCAGCTGCATCTTAGGCAAGTCACCATTCATGACTTATGGCATAAATTACAATCAATTGTTGTCTGAGGGTTTTTGTCCTTAATTTAATTGATGGCAACAATTTTAAGACCCTGCACGTTCTTAAGCACAAATGAGACGTAACTTATTTTGATGTAAAGCTGTTCAGAATATGGGGAGAAGTTTGTGCCCTGATTCTGACTGTTCACCCATCTTCAACTGAATGTGTAAGGGCAATTAATAATGTTGGACATACATTCTTTGTGAGGGGTGAAGGCTTAAAACTGAAAAATTCCGGAGCCAGCTCAACCAATTGCAGGTGAGACAGCTATGAAATACTTTCAGCTAACAATTTTCATTAGATTTCCTGAACTGCAGTATTTGTTCCTCTGTCAAATGCAGCAAGGCTTGTAACTGGAAGCTCAGTGTTCATCTGCTTTTTACAGGTATTTCTAGTGAGGAAGATCAAAGGATCTGATGCGGGTCAGCTTTATGCAATGAAGGTACTTAAGAAAGCAACTCTGAAAGGTAAGGATCGGGACAGCCTCTGCAGTCTCTATTTCTGTCGTAGCTTTTCATTCACGTTTCTTGCATTGCTTCTATCTTAAAGTACGTAACAGTGCACAAATACATCTCTACCACCCTCCAGAATCCTACCTCACTCTAGGGAGTGTTCTAAAAAAAACATACGCAAAAAAAATGTTACCTCTGCAGTGTGGGAGCAGGAAAACAGAACTTCAGAGTTTAATAGCTGAATGCTTTCTTCACTTTCTTGGTGTTATCTATAGGACTTCTATTGGATGTATATTAATTTGTATCGCAGCGGCAGTATCTTTCTGTTGCTGAAGTAAACTGAAGTAAGTATTTTTAAACAAGGATATTGGTGAAGTAAAACACAGCTCCTACTGGGTTGAAAAGCCTTCCAGCTGGTGCCTCTCACTATATGCCTAGAAATTCATGACAAAGTATTTTCAAGTGCAAGAAGTCATTTTGAGGTTGTTGAGATGATGCTGTTTCCTAGCTCGTGACCAGTCAGTGAGTGGTCTATAGTAGGCTAGGGCTGAATGACTGATGTTTAAATCTGGTCATCCTCTTCTGGGACCACAGGCGGCTACAGCCTCACTCAGACAAAAAAAGAAATATCTAGGAAAGCACAGGACTGAAAAACAGAATAAGTTTGGTCTCAGCTGAAGTCCTTACTGTTTTTTTTCTCCACAGAGTTAGTAAGACTCGGTTGTCTTCTTGATTTCCTGACTGAGCACTGTACTCTGTTTTCCTTCTCAAAAGCCTTACACTTTTTGCAGATAAGGTAGATAGTGTTCATTTTGCCCAGAGCAGCTCTTTTTGTTCTTTTCTGGTCAATGTGGGTTTGCACAATGCAGTATAGTGCCTGAATTTCTATTCCAATGTTAAACGAAATCATTTTGAGATAGTTCTGATGACTTAAAAGTCCAGTTTGTTTTAGAATGCCTTAATTTGTGGGACCAAAAGAAAAATGAAACTACCTCTGATTACAAGGTAGAGTTACAGCAGGTGGTGGCAGGCAGACACAGCGCCTCTTCTGAGTGCTAGTCAAAATAGGGAAGTGGGCAAATAAGTATTTCCATGTTTCCTTCAGCTAAGAAAGCCTTTTCAAAGAAACATTAGTTTGGAGCAATACTGGCGTGCTGATCTTTTTATTTGAAATATACAAGAGAAAATTTGTTCTGGCAGGACAGCATGGTGCAAATAACCACTTAAGTAGTAGTGGATGTAATACATAAAAAGGAAAAGTACTTTATGCACAGTACCTATAATAGAGTGATTTTCTGACTTATCAACCAAGAGCAGAACTGTGAAGTACCCAAACTGAGCTGAGCTCAACTCTCAGAGCCTTCCCTACCAGGCTGGGCACAGTGTCTGAGGAAGGACCGCATGACCCCTCTGATGTCAACATGTACCAGGGACTAATTTCTGTTCTTTTAACAGCCCAGAACTTTTCACCCAAGGTAAAACTTGGTATATAAATCTGACGTGTGTTGATCTGAAAGAGCTTTGGAGAAGGGAAAGGTTTCTTTTGCTACCCCAAATTTATTACTTAACACCCTACTTAAAGTGTTATTACTTAACACTTGTCATCTCTTAATATGTTTTAACTAAATCGATAATGTTAGATTCCACTGGGAAAAAAAACCCAAATAGTATTTTAAGAAGCCTTGAAATTTAGATGGTGATTTTAAACTACTCGGAGTGTTCTATCGTATGTATCTGTTCATCAAGAACAGGCATCTCCATGTTTGCAGTTCCTTGGTTCGTCACAGCGCACAGAACCACTACTTTTCTCCTCCCTTGGCTGTTACAGCAGGCTGTTTATTGTTTTCTCAAGTGTGGGTCACAAGATCTAAAGTTGAAGCTGCTTTGTGATTTTGCTGGACTGCATTTCTCTCCCATTCAGGCTACTTACCCCTCTGACTGGTAGCTCTGAATTTCCCAGTAGGAACTAATTTGTCCACACTAGTTTCTGCAAATAAGTTAAACCTGACAGCTGTTTAACTCAAAGTACAAAAGTGAAGGCAAAACCCCATTGGCCCAGGGCAAGTGAGGTGAGCAACAATGAGGATTGCTGTCAGTGAGCTTCCATGTAACTTTTGGCACAGAGAGAATATTTCTGACAGCTTAATTTCATCTTTTAAGTGAAAGTGCTAGATTATTGCTGCCTACCTACATTCAAAAAGGCTGGAATTAACTCCAGTATGAAGTATTTATTATGTCAAGTAATGGGAGCAAAGCCATATGTTCTTGTTAGCACTGCATTCAGTATTTACTGACAAAATACATGATACTAGACAGATTGCTGTGTGACTGTGCTTCCTAACTTGTACTCTGCACAGTATAGCATGGAACAGCAGAGCTCTCAGTGCCAGTACCACTGACATGGCCACACAGTCGTAAATATCATAGCTTTTTTTTTTCTACATAAAATGAAGAAATGAGAAAAGAGGAGGGGGTAACAAAATTGTTTTTTCTTTTCGGAATTAGTCTGAATAATTAAAACCTTTGTAAGTGAGAATGTGAGGAAGTTAAATGCCTTCAGGAGTGATGGGCTAAAACTAGCTTTTATGTAGAACAGACATAGTGGGGTCTGCCGATAGAGTTTCCTATCCCAGGAACCTGACTGTGGTCATGACTGGCTGGTAATGTTTAGGAAGAAGCATAAGTACAAAACAGGGCTTCCTCCAGTGGGTCTGCTGCCTCTTTCCAAGGTATTTGTCCCTTATGAGCATGATCCAAATTTCACCAACAGCAAAGGGTACAGCAATCAGCAGCAGCACTCTTCAAGCATTTACAGCTCAAAAAAGTTGTTTGATACAGAAGAGGCTTTGTAGATCAATTGCATATGTAGATTTAAACTTGAAAAAGATCTGCTAAACAGCAGGACCATTCCTGCTGTGAAGGGAGAATTAGACTCCAAAATATTCCCGTTTAGACTGTACAGGTTTACAGAGGCACATGCTGTACATATAAACGTTTGTGAAAATGAAAGAAATCTTCACCACTTGAAGGTTCATATTAAATGTAGAGTATATCTGAATAAGCACCTATAACAGCATGGATCCCTGAAAGTGAGGAAGCCACTGCTCCCTTAAGTTATAGATGAGAGCATCATTCAGACGTTTCTTTCCTTCATGCCTCATTTCCTTTAGCTGGAGCTTGTGGGTATCTGTTTTTTAAAGGAGAGAACTGAAGAAACTAGATAAGTGTTTCATTCTAATTACTAATTTTAGGAAAACCTTGTCCAAAATATTTGAGAATTTTATGTCAGTTAGGTGAGAGATAGCAAATGCATCAGATTCAAGGCTGTGTGTATGTATAATTCATCTGTCTTTGAAAGTCTATTAAATTACAATACCCTAACAGCTACCTTTGCAAATATAAAACTTCTTGTGGGGTGCCAGGTGCTCAAAGACATTTAGGCACTTAAATACTTTCCAAGAGTGAGACTTTTGTTTTTTAAGATGTCATTATATAGTAGTATTAAATATGCCATCTTAAAATGTTGCTTTTATGTCTTCATTATACTACTTTTATTTCGCCTTAGAAAATGAGATTTTTAGATTAAAAAAAAAAAAATTGAATTAGAATGATTAAAAGCTTACATATATATTAGTGAGTCATGACTGCCCAGCCTGAAGGCACCATGAAACTGAGGAAACAGAAAGAAAACAGGGACTATTTATTCTGTGTATATGTGTGCCTTGTATTCACCAGCAAAGCTGGTACAGAGGCAGGCTGATTATTTCAGTTCACTTGGTATTTCTTTAAAGGTGTCTCAGGCTCGATCAGCTTTACTAGATGTGATTCAGGATTCTGTGAACAAGAAGTGTTTAGATCACTTACAGTGTAAGCCTCATTAAATACCTGTGAAGTACTTATAAATCCCCAACAGGTTGCTGTGCTGAAATGTAAGAGCTACCTCTGGAGCTTGAAAATCAAAGACCCATCCCTCTAGGAGAAATGCAATCATAGAGTAGCATGAAGCCATAATTCGCTGACATAATGCTTATGAACTTTGTAAATATTACAGTGGTGATCTAGTGAAGGTTTATGCGATGGGTCACAAGGAAGTAGTTTGTATCTGCCCGTCCTGTTGGTAATGGGCTGTATAATTCTCAGCAATGGAAGCTATTTGACCCTGAGAACTGAGAGTCTACCTGTTTCTGGTTATGTTGTTTACAAATGGTAATCTGTTCTGTCAAAAGCTCTTAGTGCTTTGAATTTTATGATCTCCTCAGTCTAAGCTAGTAGGCTTTTGGGTTTACAATTGTGCTGAGTGCATGTGGTGGTTATAGATGGTTATAGTAAGTGGTGAGAGTAGCTTTAGTGACTCACAGAGAGCTTGTGGTATTCTCAGGGGTGTTAGATCAATGATACTAATTATACACTAAATTGGCAACTAACTTGGATGTCACCAGCTGGATCATGGTTTTCATCTAAAGCATTGATAAAACTGCCTCCCTGTTTGGACACTAACTGAAGTGGCTTCTTCAGTTTTCCTCTGAATGCCGCTCAGTTTCCCTGTGATGACTGTGGTGTTTAGATCTAAGATGTTGGAACTCCAGTGGTTTCCCTCTGCTTTGAATAGAACAAAAACTCCTCTGTATACCTCATGAGTGGCTCTAAAATGTAATCATCAGCCTAGTCATGTGCTCAGCCCCACAGCAATGCTCTTGGGTCACTATCTGGACCTCGCCTGTTCACATGGAAGTTCTATGGTACAGGAGTTAAGGAGAACATCTCCAGCTTTGTGCTGAACTACAGAACGTGCCAACCTTGCCCATCAAGAATTAGGAGCAAGCTGGAATTAGTAGCTGTTATCTGAGGAGGGAGGACTCCCTTTCTTCCTGTGAGAGTTTTGAAAGTGAAACCAAAAAAATCTTCGACTCAGTGCTGAGAGGTCACTACTGGGCTGTAGCTTTACAGTGCCTTTGCTATATCAGACCATCTCTTTCTTCCTCTCCTAAAAAGTCAGCTTATCTAGGGCTTCCTTT